AGGCTGAAAAACATTTCCTCTCGAGCATCCCTACTCAACTAAGGATGAAAAACATTCCTACTCGGCTAAGGTTGAAAAAAAAATAAAAAAATTTCCCTCCCGAGCATCCCTACTCGGCTAAGGTTGAAAAACATTCCCTCCCACGTACCCCTACCCGGCTAAGGTTGAATCAAACTACCGCAAGCATGCTTACTCGAATAAAAGTGAAATTAATTCCCTCCCGAATACGCCTTCTAAAGTTGAAATTATTCAATTCACCTCCGATTACACTTACTCGGTTGAAGTTGGAAAAAATTTAAATTCTCTCGGTTAAAGTCGAATTACTCTCCCGAGCACTCCACTCAGATATTACTTAACTGAGTTAAACACACCAATCATGGTTTATTTCACAACTATCAAAATGAGTAAATGAATATGAAGTGTGTTTTATACGAGTATTAATCATAATAAATTAGTTACTTTAAAAATAGCCGAACACGACTGAAGAAATCGAATTCATATTAATAGACGGCACAAAAAGGCCAAAAAGCATTACAGAAAGTATTAGGTGCTACCAGCCTTTGCTTTACAAAATAAAAATTGTCTATTGATTCCCCCCTCAGCACCATCCTGTGTAGGGGCATCTTTGACAATGATTCCATGAACTTGCCAAGGAGCCTCGGCATCAGGTTCCACCTCTTCATCCACTTCATCATAAGATAAGAACTTCCCACCAAAGAAGTCCTTCATTAGATCAAAGTGGAAGTCAACAGAGACCTAGCAAAATTCGATTCTCTGTTGCATGACATGATGAAATTCGGCTTCATGCTCAGCAACTATCTTGTCATTGTACTCAGCAGCAAATGCTTTCATGTCAGCATCGACTTTATCTTTATTTTGCCTCTCCCTCGCCAAGGCTTCATTCAACTCCAAGGTTTTGACCCTTAGGGCTTCTTCAGTGGCACATAGCTGATCCTTAATAATGTTGAAGTGCCTTTTAATTTGAGCCACTTCAACTTCCAACGCTTTGTTTGTATCGGCCAAGTTCATCCAAACCTCTTCACTTTCTTCCAAAGCTCTTCACTCAAATCCAAGCTACGCGTCATTACCATAGCTCGGGTTTGTAGTTCACAGAACCATTGCCATCAGGACCTGTTATCTTGTTTATTTACAATAGCCCTCCCAGTCTCCTATAACAAGTCTGAGGATACAAGTTTATAAGCCTGAACCCCCTTAGCAAACAAAGAATCTGAAAAGACAACAAGAAGGATGACGGTATATATAGAAGAGCTGCTTGGACCAGTCAACCCTGCAGCTCGAGCATGTTTCCCGCTTTCTCTCCTTATCGGATTCCTTCTCCTTACCGTTATCTTTTTTTTTTCTTTTGATGACCTTCGGCAAGGGGTTGATCCCGGGGAGGAGGATGGGCCTCAGGCAAGTCTGGAACATGGTCCATACGAGGATGTCAGTGTTCTTCAATCATTGTACCTTCATGAGCTTGTTGTTTCAAACCATGACGATAACCCACATCGAGTCCTCTTTATGACATTATACCTACAATAAAAACAAGAAGTCAAATCAATATAATTCGGTGTCCAAATTATGAACTAAAGAGACAAAGCATATCGTCCATATCCAAGCGAGGCTTGGGGGACTTCAACAAAAGGATGAGAGCTTGGGCAGGCAGTTCATGGGGGAGAGATTTTATATACTCTAGTGCCGACAACTCTACTGGCGATAGCATCTCTTCCAGATATACGTTATATCGACGAGGGACTCTAGTCCAATGAAAAGGAAAGAGAGGTCTATCCTCAATATCAAAAAAGTACTTTTTTCCGATAGGGTGGACGGTTACTTTAAAGTAGCTAGTTTTAAAACCCTTAAACGAAGAGGTATAAGATTTAAAAAAGGGCAGTTTAGCCTACCTTATTAGTGATACCAACATTTCCTTGTCTGAAGGACAGGTACAGAAAAAATGAAGAAACAAACCTACGCTAGACTCTATACAATGAAATTTACACAAGATTCTGAAAGTATGCATTGCCGCCTACCTATTCGGGTGAAGTTGTGTCGACGCAACATTAAAAACCCTCAACACACCCATTTGAAAATCATCAAAGGGAAGTTTTATACCTAATTTCCTAAACATACATTCATATACAAAGAAGGTGTCGAGCATCTCAGCACCATCACCTAAAAATACTAGTTCAAGATTCCCTGAGCCATTCCCTCAACAAACATTGATAGTTATCGGATAAGGGTCCAAAGCCTCCCAAGTGATATGTCACAATGATCTACAAAGGCTTGTAGTCGCTTATTTTGTTGAAAGCATGAGTAGTATACAGCTACTTCACCGTCCACCCATTCGTAGCCAAGAATCGTACAAGGCGAAAACTTAGGCCTTTCTGTAAGGGGACTAGCGTTTGATAGCGAATCGCCAGAATCGGGGCCTTCCTCATGGCCGTTAGACGATTAAGCTTCATCTCTAGAATCCCTAATAGTCGTATCCGGATCATTTATAATACCGATTGGTCAAGAAGAAATCCCCTTAAACCTTTCGGTCTTACTCAAATCCCCAACCACATCAGAAACAATATTTGGCCTTGCCTGGTCTGACAATGAGTCCTCCCATTCAATTGAATAGGCCATAAGAGAATAAGAGGAGAAGAAAATAATAAAGCAAGACAAACGTACCTTAAAGTCTAGAAGGGACAAAACTTCCAACAAATTAAGCAGAATATACCCCTCGATGCAGAGTAGAAAGCATACATGATGCCTGGATCACCACTTATTTATAAAACATAATGTTTCGGGGCAGATGAAGGGTCACACCCCGTCTTTTACCGTTAGATCTCTTCCAAATCAATGGATATGAATGAATAACCTTTTGTTTCAAAGTGCGACCTACGAGGAAACCCTAATTTACTAAAACCCTAAAATGCCAACATATTATAAAGCTTGGAAAGGCAAAAATATGCAAGATAATTTGATCTTTCTTCAATTGGAATCCGAATACCCCTTTGCTAACACTAACAGATTTTAAAATGGAGCACTCTATCGGTCACACCGGTCATAACCTTTTATGACTTGCATAAAAGAAAACCATAGTACCAAGTTTTGTAGACTTAAATCAGCCCTTATGTCATACTTTCTCGGGCTTTGGGGACTAGTGTACTGGATAAGATATTTTACTCGGTCACTATGACGAAAGAAGGGATCTAAATACTCCTTCGGCCTAGGAGGACGAACACCCATCCAGTAAAGATTAAGATAACTTAGAAACGATTAAACAAGATTAAAGCAGATAACCATTAATTTAATTAAACAGAAGGTTTAAGACAGGGCTGAGTCATGAAACCCATTAGCCCAAAATATTGTCTATAAAAGGAAAATAAGAAGTACAGGTAAAGGGTTGACTTTTAAAATAATAAATAGTATTTATTGCCTAAACTGATGTCTAACTTTATCATCGAAGTGTCTTTTGTAGATACCATCCCCACGTCATATAGAGAAGGGTATGACATACTTACAAGAACATCACAAAGTAAGACAGAAGAAGAGATTATCGAAGACCGTTGTATCCTGTACAAGAACAATTAATTTTCTTAATTTAATTGAAAATAACAAAATATCAAAGTAAGTTTTTTTAAAATTCATTTCTTTTACCCAAAAACAAAAAAGAAAATATTTCTTGCACACCATTTATTCCTTTGATTCACATTTAAAATTTTAAAAAATGTCTTCTTCCTAAAATTGTGTTTTTTAATTTTAAAAAATAAAAAATAAATTTCTTTAAAAATTATGTCTTCTTTCAAATAAAAAATAAAAATATATTTTTTATAATTAATTAGAATAATGAAAATATGAATTATTATTTTTTGGAGTAAAATAAATATTTCTAAAGTTAGAATAATTTTTTACAATTAATTAAAAAGTAATTACTTTATTTAACATATGTCATAAAGTACTGTTACCTTTTCTTGTAGATTAACAACTCTTAAACTCAAATTTAATTTTGAAGTTTTTTTAATTATAACTTTTTTTTTATAAACTTTAATTATGACTTTGTCATCATTTTTTTTTAACTAATTAAAATTATTTTTTACCTTTCCTTTTTCTCTACGTGACTATGTGGTCTCATCTCACTTTGATCCAATTGCAACACTTTCTTTTTGCTTTTGTTATATTTTGACCTTTTACATCTATTAGAGTTAGATTTATCTTAGATATGTATCAGATGTTTTAGTATTGATATTTTAAGATTCTTGAATTATATCGGATGTGGTTAAATTATAGACTAAGGCTCATACTTAGTATTGACATAATTAAGTAGTAAAATGGAACAAATTATTTCTATAAATTATTAACTTATACTTTTTTATTTTTTTAAAAATTCTCTCACTTACCATCTCCATAACTTAAGGAATATAGGTTGCTTTTAACTAATAAAAGATGCTTTATTTAAATTTTATATTAATTTTTTCTCCGATAAGAACTTATCTAAAATTTTTCCCAAATTAAACTTAATTCTAATAGGTTATTAATTTTTGAGATGATGAAGTTACAAATAAAAAAATTGTGCCAAAATTTTAACAAATGTCAGATTGCTTAATAAAAAAAAAAATTCATATACTTATTTATAAATAGACTTAACAGATTAAGCAATGTTTTCAAGTTTAATTTTGCCTGTGCACCGGTTACGGGCTTAACGTTCCTTTTCTCTGTATGCTCTTCCAAATGCACCCTTTAAGTGAACAAATACAAAATATATAAATAAATAATTTACGCTAACGCTTCAAAATATAGTTCATCAACGTTTATATACTCCTTAATTCAAGAAAGGCTGTGGAGACATTGTTCAACAATACAAAAACAAACAAAAAATGATTAAGGATTAATGTTAGTAAATATTTTAGTTTGAAGCGTATTTCAATAATATATTTTACCTTCGGCGTTCTCATATTATCTCACCACTAGGGGTGTCTGGTATACACTCTGTTGAAGACTTGAAGCGCGGTACCAAATGAACATATTTGATTCTATATCTATACCCGAATGTATCTTATAATAATTTTGTTAGTTCAATTTTTACACTCTAAATATCAATGCCGCTAAAAGTGACCTGAAGATAGTTATGACAAAAATATCAAGCATGCATGAGGGATTTTGAAAGTAAGTAACAAGTTGCACCGAAAAGAGCAAGTAAAAGGTTATGAAAATCACTGCCCTTCCTCGGAAATTTTGTCTTTTGGATGGAAGACGATGATGGTGTTTTCAGCATCATGTCATTCTTTAATCTCCTCCTATGCTAAATACTGAAATATGACTTGCTTTAAGAGGCCTCGGATGAAGCCTCACTTGCATCTTCTGAATCTGAATCATCAACCATCTTCTCAAGTGCATCTAGATTGCCAGCTTCAGAGACGGTGTGGATTCTGAGTTTGTCAGCATCTTCACTGAGAAAGAAAGTCAAGAAATAGTTTATCTTAGCATGTACGACAGTGTTTTTAATCCTGTTTTGTCATTCTGAAAGCAAAGAGTTTTTTTTATATCAAAGAAAAAGATATCAAATGGACTTCTTAGCATGATGCTAAACATTCGTAGCATCTGGCATCTTTAATGTGAGAGCTATATTCAAACTCCTAAGCAACGAAAGAATAGTAAGTAAAAAAAAATGTATGAGCATGGGTTCTCATTTTTTATTCAACCATTTTACCAGTGTGAACCAAAACAACACAGTAAAAGCAAGCAGATTGTGCATACTCTGTAACCCCGAAGATTTCCTTGACAACTAAGGAGCTATCTCTTGAACAGAACTCTGGCAGCTGGAATCAGAATAATAGGAGAAAAATTTAATCAAGTCATACATTAAACTCATAACAGAACAATTACAAGTATGTCATTAAATGCCAATGCACAAGACTCCAAGTTTGAACGACCTCAAAGTCACAAGGCAACAACCTTACCATTGATTGCGCCAAGGCCCACCCTCCCAAGAGCCTTTTTACATTAAAAAATTGAAAAGATAAAGTATTAGGAAACTATGAAGTAGCAAACAATTACATAAATAAAACCCAAGAGTTAAATACCATATTTCTTCCGACGACCATAAATAAAACCATTCCTTCCCAAAATTAACCAGGTGCAACCTTTTGAGTGTTTCCCGGGGTTGTTTGAAAGGGGACTTTTTTAAGGAAAAGGGAGGGGAGGATGATTTTTTTTTATTTTTAAATTAAGAGAATTATATGTAATTTGTGATAATAAATAAATGATAAATACATTAATTTTATACTAATATATCATTTTGTTATTTTTTATTTTGAAAAACTATCAAATTAAAATATGTTTATTTAAAATAGAAATTTTGGCCTCCTCTGCCTTTCCCCACAAAACCCCTTTCTCAAACAACCACAAAAAAAATTTTAAAACTGAAAAAAAAAAAAATACAGAAACAATTTCTCCTGTAATATTGCAACACTTAATTTCAGTATTACAGAACCAAAAAAGGTTATTGTACCAAAGGAACTTAAAAGCAATTAGTTTGTTTGCATAAGCTTTTTTTAATAATTATTTTTAAAAGCTCTCACAACACTGAAAAAAAATAAGCAATTATTTTCTCAAAATAAGCCAAATCAGACATGCACTTAATGTATTTTACATACTGAAAGAGATGAACAGAATTTGTATCAAATTGACTGCTTATGTTCACTTACCTCGGACAGATAGAAGACCTTTCCAAAAAGGGTCTGCACAGCCAGTTTTCTCTTGAAACCCTTTTCAGAATAACCTGCTTTGTCCATCACAACAGGGCCTAAAAATCATTTAAATGTAATACAGTTAGGGAATAGAAATGATACGGTCCTCACTTAAAAAGCATCATTAATTAAATTTGCAAAAAATGTTTTCACACATTGAATGAGAAAAAGAAGTTAGAGGAAAGGGGAGAGACCAGTTCTCTCTCACATCGTTAATACCTGCCCTTCCTGACTTTCAAGTTGCTATTATTTAAAAGCATGTCAGTTTCAAAATAGCTTTAATAGTATCAACAAACAAATTCAGAAGACAGGGTCATATAGCCCCTCAAGGATGCTTCTACTGAGAAAAAGCACTCTCAATATGACAGCATTACAACTTCACATTAAGAAATAATTCAAATTGGAAATTCAAACCATGCTTCTAGGACTAGACAGCAAAGATACACCAAAGATGTAAAACATGATGCTAAAGCAACTAAAAAAAATTACCACAAACATATACATTAAAGCAAGCTAATTGATGAGAAAGAATCATGGCATGTAATCAATTGTGATATTTCTTGTCATACTCAAGATGTGTCATAAAGCAGATGCACAAATGGAGAATAGGGATAAGGGAAATAGACAGCCTGATAGAGAACCAAGTTCAGAACATAGCCCAAAGTATGAAGCGGTGGATCAACTATTGGACCTTGGGCCAAAGATCAAATTCTGGAAAGTATATTCCAGGTGGAAGCCACCAGGGGTAAACCACATCAGTGGTGCTGATGTGGATTAGTTAGTTAGAAGGAGATTATTAAGGGAGAGGTAGGGGAAAGGTTTGAGGTAGGCCAGTACATATGAAGTGTTTGAAGCGTTGTCTTTGTTTTCTGATTTAATAATACTAAAAACTATTGCAGGATTCTATCATGTGGTCTAACCTTCCAGATCCAACATCAGGCTGCCAAAACCAACTAATAAATGGAGGGAATGGAAGCCCATCTTGCTAATATCAAACCCCGTCTAGAGTCCTCAATTGAGGGGTTGCAAAATTCTCTGTGCATCCCTAGACAAGTTAACAGCCCCAAGACTAGCAAGCAATGCAGCAACTTTTCTTATGGGAATTGAGTAAAATTAGTGGCAAACAGGGGGCAATGAAGAACATCAACACCGCTGCTCAATCCCATGAAGAAAAGTATGGATGAATTTTGCTTATTAGTGAAGAAGGTTAATTTACCAAGGTTTTCTTGTATAGATCCAGTGGGATGGATTTCACAAGAAGAAATGTATTTTGAAAATCACAACACTAATGATGCAATGAGGATTAAATTAACTCGATTGTGTATGGAGCATAGTAGTCAATCACGGATAGCGGTGCAGAACAACCCCAAAAACGCTATAGCAGGATAGCAGATAGCGGAATGACTACTATTTTAGATATTTTAAATATACCTAGTATAAATTAAGCTACACACGTATATATGCTGAGAAGGAAATCAAAAAACAAAGAAGGAAAATAGAGCAAATCACCAGAGCAATAGAATCAAATTAGAGAGGAAAAAGAACAGAGAAGGAAAATAGAACAAAGAGAATGTTTAGTCACCGGAAAATGTGTAGGTTCGTTGGTAAGTCCGGAGATGTATAAGATGACTAGAAAATGTCTGGGTGATGTCGGAAGGTTCACTGGACTTGAAAGAAATGACTGAAAACAGTTTGGGTCACGTCAGAGGCTTCACCGGAGATGAAGATGACCAGAAATGCTTTGTCACATCAAAAGTCTCGTCAGAGAGGAAGAAAGACATTAGGAGCAGTGGAATTGCAAAGAATAGAGATAAAAAAACAGAATGAAGGAGAACTGAAAGATGAGAATGAAAAGCTTAGGGCTCGCAAGGGAGGGAGGGATAAGATATCAAAAACTAAGAGAGGGACGAAATCCCAAGATTGCCCCCTTAAAAGTCGCCAACATTAAGAAATAGAGGGACAAATCAGGAATTTCAGTGCAAATGGAATAGCAGCTGCAACGGCTGCGATTTCCCCTGTTTTTTGCCACAATTTGTGGCACAATGACCACTCCTTTGAAACACGACTGAGTCTCCATAGCAAACACCTGCCACTCTACTCCACCGCGATAGAGGCTGCTATTGACTATTATGGTATGGAGGATTATATACACAATCTAGCGGGATGGATTTCACAAGCACAAATGTATTTTGAACAGATTTTATGTGCCTTGAGAACTGTACCTCAACTAACTGTTTGAACTTTGAACTGTTGAAAGTTGAAACACCTTGAGTGCCTCAGATTTTTGTTTAAGCAGATAGATCCACTAATATTGTGTACATGTATTAACAAATGTTATATAATAGGTGTATCCTCTAGCCAATAAAACAGGGGTTGGGCCCCATATGTCACTGAAATTGAGTTACAAAGGTTCATCGTAAGTTGCACTAGAACAAATAGAAGGTAAGCAATGAATCTTGCCCATACAACATGCAGTACAAAAATTCAATGGCTCTTTATTCATAATTGATGTATTACAGAGTTGAAGAATTGACTTAAGTGCTTAGGATGAAATTAAAAGTATCATTATTATTGAGTGATACATCATTTTAGTCCTTGACATTATAGGTATCCATCAATTTAGTCCTTAAAATTATGAAAAAGAATTTTTAATCCTTGAAATTATAAGAAATCAATCATTTTAGTTCCTAAAATTATGTGTGTGTGTGTGTCAATTTAGTCCTTAAAATTATGGAAAAGAATTCATATATGTGTGTGCATGTGAACTAAAATGATTGATTTCATAATTTCAAGGACTAATTGTTTGATACTTATAATTTTAGGGACATTACTCCATTATTATCTCTAGCAAACTGGATCATATTGACTAAATTTTTTATGATAGAGGAAACAAGGAAAAGATTATGAAGAATAACATTGTGTTTGGTTGCAGTGGTGACTTGAACTAAGAATTGCCAAGAGTAACAATAGTAAAACCTTGTCCATTGGCGATTTGGACTTAATCTTTTCCCTGAAATGGAACACTATTTTGAAGATTTGCTGGATTGGAGTGACATGATGTGTGGCACTAGAATAAAAATACCAACCCTGAATTACTGTCTCTATTGGTGCAGCTAGAAAGGCATGGGGACAACAAGATGAACCAGGAGGCAAGGATGCTGGTCCAATAGAAATGTGAGGTAAGTAGAAAGGATGCAACTGGTGTGAAGAGGAATATGTAGACATAGGAGTGCTAGGCCTTGGAAAGTTGATCTATGGATAGGCTCAAAATTGAGGTGTTGTGTAGGTATGCGTATGATCCAATTGATGATAGCATGAGAATGCATCGTGACCAAATTTGTGACAAACTGACTTTGTATCAAGCCTTGAGAAAAGCATCCACACCCTCTACCTGTATGCTGTCCAAACCTCTGCCACTGCAATCATATCTATGAGGAACTTGTCAAGGACAGGATCAAACACACCTTGCTGTGAAGATTGAGAGGGTTCCAAGGGCAAAATATTGCTCTAGGAATTGTGAACTGGATTATATATAGATCCATGATTATCAATAGCAGGCTATAGTGGCACTATAGCAGAGCGGAGCAGCCATATAAAATTTGAATAGCAGAGCGGTTTTGAATAGCGGCTGTAGAGGCCACAATAGTGGCCAAAATAGCAGCCATAGTGCTGCCACTGCATTGCTAGAGTGAAACTTTTCAAAAAAAAAATTATTTTTGCCCTAAAAAATCACTGGTTTGGGGATTTTTTTTACTTTTATTGTTATTTACTTGTATGTTTTGCCTAAGAACTATGACTTCTTATTTTTAATTATGAATATGTCATGGATTTTGATTTTTCTTTTATAAATCTTTTAGCATATATATATATAGTATAAATTATTTAATTCATATATAAAATTTCTAAATAGCAGTCATTCCGCTATGCACTATCCCACTATAACATTTTTGGCATTGGCTGCTACACACCGCTATCCAAGATTGATAACTATGCATAGATCCTAGGTCTGCAGTTTGTGCTATATTGATCAAGAAAGTATCAAAAACCAAAGCTTGGCAATTCTTCTCTAGTTGAGTTTCATTCATGAACTAGCAGAAAAGCTTCAAGCTCATTTGTAGTATGTAGTTCTAATCTACTTGTGACAGTGATTACTGGTTACATATACATCATAATCATTGAGAAGGCCATCAAGTATAGCATCAACTTGGATTCAAGGAAGCACAAGATCACCAATAGCAATTAAGGAATCAATCATGTTTTGATTCCCAGAAGGTACTCAGAGATTGAACAAGTGCCTTTCTTGGTATTACACAGTTCTAACCGTGTCTGTGTCTGTGTTTGTGTTTGTGTTTGTGTCTATGTCAAAGTCCATGCTCCATCTCTACTTGCACAATATAAGAATTTTCTTCAACAACAAATTTATACTTAAATTCATTGCCAAATATGTCAAAGAAAAATCAAATAATCAAATTAATCTTCTGCAGTTATTTCATGGTCAAGTCACCTATATATTAGACTGCTTACAAGTAACATCAATTATAGCAAGCAGCCGGGAAGGAAACGAAAACAATTAAGAATAGCTTTTGTTTTGAATGTATGCAGCAGTGCTCAAATAAATATATTGTCCAATGTTAAAATTACATTACCTTTGTCCCGCACAATTCGTCGTGAAATTTCATTCAGAATCGCAGCAACTTGTGAATCAGTCAACATAGAAGCTTTCCTTAGCTGAATTAAATCAGCTACTAAGTCAGGGTTGAATGGTTTCTCATTCAGGGCATACCGGATATACTTGCGCAAAATTCCTTCCAAATCAAAACCTGTCTGGATATGAATTTGCGGTTGTTACTATGAATCTTATTGCACATATTCCCAAGCACACAAAGGTATAGGAATTAAAACATGATATCAACTGTAATGAAGCATGGATTCCAGGCAGTTGATAAGCATGGCACTGATACAGAAACAAACCAAAATCTAGAACAAATAGTAGCAAAAACAATCATAACAGAGATATTTATACATTAATATGTGAGAGAAAACACAATGGTTCTATTGCAATTCATAAGCAATTCCACATGTGCAAAGCACAAATAAAAGAGAAGGATAATGTCTTGATTATTTAAAAATCCACACAAGTTATCCTCATGCAGAATGGCAGTATCACAAAATTTGGCGTCAATTAATCGTTGATTCTGAAAATGAAATTTACCATAGGCATAATTCCCGTGATAATCTAGTATTTTACTGAATCGTGTTTTTTTCTCTTTCGTGCTTGTGTTCTGTTTTTTATACCACCTTAGATTTATGTTTAAATATGTTTGTTGTACATTACTGGTTACTAACTGTTTATGAGATAAAGACTTAATTTTTGTTTGCTGTGATTACTACTGCAATCAGCTTCTCTTGAAAATTCTTTCACGGTAGAAACCAACATACTCGGGAAACAATCATGATTCTCAACAGTTATCAGAGGAAAATTCGATTCAACAACTATCAATGACCATATGACTTAGTGTTTAATGGAAATGTGTGTAGGATCATGCACCTCACCTTATTCTCAATTTCCTTGAGAGCATCAAACTTAACTTCATCACTTCCTTTTCGAAGTAAATCATCCAACGACTTCAATAGCGTGGCATTTTTACTGACCTGGAAAACGTTATATATATATGTATATATATAATTACCTTAATCCAACTCAACAAAGATTTGCAAAAGACCCTAAGGCCTAATAACGCGAACGAATTACAGTAAAAGATGGAGCAAAGAAAATGTTGGATTTGTGTGAATAACGAACAAGGGACAGACCAGTCTGCGGCGTTTTGCTTTGGGAGAAGTGAATTTTTTGACGGTCTTGACAAAGGCAATGACGAAAGTGAGGCCAGCGTATGCAAGAGGAATGGCGAGAATCCAAGGCAAGGGGGTGGGACCCACTCTAGGTCCGGGAATGGCTTGGGTAACCGAGCCAGTGAACTCGACCAGGTCCAAAGCCTTTTCCTGAATCCATGGCAGCTCCTCTTCCACTTCCACCTCCATTTCCTTATCTTTTGAAGAAACAGGGTTCTTCTTGGAATTGCTAGTGTCGTTTGAGCTCGACGCTGCAGCGAAGCACGTTGTCGTTGAAGAAAATAACAGTGGCTGTTTTTGAATCAGAACAGCAGGAAACGGCGACGTTCTGCAATTAGTTGTTGAATGAAAAGGGATTGCAGAAACCTTTCTGAGTGGCAGAATCTGACAGGCAAGAGAACACGAAGAAACAGCCATTTGATGGATTTGAGGGAATCAAAGGGACAATGCCTCTTCCTCCACCCTCTAATCCCAATCCTCTTCTTGCACCCGCTATTAGGTTCCCCTGTTTGCTTGTGCTTTTTTCTGTTGCCTTTTTTAAAATCATTTCAATTATTAAGTGTAGGAACGTAAATCAACTCAGTTACACCTAAATTTATTTATTTAATTAATGTTTAAATATTATTTGACACAAAATTTATTTTTCTATTTGATTTCTATAAAAAAAAATTATGAATTCTTAAATAAAAATATTTTATAAAATAGTCTTTGTTTGTATAATTTTATTATTCTATATTTAAACCTATTATTTAATTATAATTTTTGTATATAACACATTCTTTGTTCTGCTACTTATATAAAATAATAATAAATTATACAAATAATATATATATATATATATATATATATATAAATGTGTTACATGTAGAGACAATAATAAAAAATGTATTATATATAAAAAATAAAAATAAAATATATTATATATAAAGATAAAAATAAAACTTGCCATCAAGTAAATTAAAAGAAAATATTATGATTTTTACAACATATAATAAAAGATGAGTAGTTTATTAACTTTAAATAATATAATTATAAATTAACATGAAAATTAAAATATTTTGCGTCATACTATTAGGAATTATTAAAAATATTATTTAAAAATAAAATTTATATATAATATATTAAATATTTTTATATTTTTTAATTAAACTTAGAGACTATTGTTTAAAAGATTATATTTAAAATTTTTATAAAATAAATAATTCATCGTAATTATATTTAAAAGTAGAAATGTAAATGAGTTGAATTAAATTAAAATACATAAAGTTAAAAAAATTCAAGTTTTGTGTGATTTAATTAAATTTTTTAAAATATAGACTTAATTCGATAATTATAATTATATATATATATATATATATATATTTTGTAAGTCTTGAATAATTTTTTCATCAATTTGATATTTAATAAATATTTTTATATTAAAATTTAAAATATAATAATAAAATTCAATTTATCAACATTAAGATAAGATAAGTGTTTTAGAAAATAATTATAAAAATAGTATATTTCTTTAAAAATTATATTCATTTATTTAAAATACAACTTTTGAGAAGTAAAATATACACATAATAATAATAATAATAATTATTATTATTATTATTATTATTTTAAATAAATATAATAAATCAAATTATAATAATTAAAGTATGTAAATATGTGTTTGCATGCAAGTTATTAATGTCAAGTTTGCAAAGTTTAAGTTTGATTCATTTAAATATTTGAGTTTAATTTTAAGCTTTAGTTTATTTGTTTAATTAAATAATCAAACTTAACTAAGTATTTGATAATTCAAGTTCAAATAGTTCATGAATAACTCAACTCACTTACATTCTTTCTAAAATGTATGAAAAAATTTAATTATAAATATTAATCTACAAGATTAAAGAACAAAACTAAAAAAAAGTTGATAATGCTCTCTCAAGTTAAAAAAAAAAAATAACATTTAAATATTAGTTCATACTTCATCCTTATAATATGAATAAAATGAATAAAAGTAAAATATTTTTTATTAGAATCTCAAATTGACAGAAAATAAAATAAAAACTTTTCACAAATTTTTAAAGTCAAACTCTTTCAATTTTAAAATAAATAAACAAATCAATTCACATCTTGATAAGAAGCTTCAAAATAGCTTTCCAAAAATCAAATATTTCTTTTTTTATGTTAAAAAAGTTGAAACTTTAATTAAGTAGGACATAAATTCATTTATTTAATCATGAGAACATATCAAACACATATTCAAGCACTCAATGACAATCTTAATCACATACAAACACACATTTCTAAGTCTTAGACATAAATTTGCCATAAACTTAAAAGAGAGTGAAAAGTTCTTATAAATTTTCAATTAAACACAACACATGCAACTTGAAGTTAATATATCATTATCTAGTTTTTTTCAATATTTAACTTTGAGATATGTGAAAGTCTTCCACCTCACCTTAGAGAGTGACTTAGGTGAGGAAGAAGACAACTCTTTGTTCAATCTAATCTAAGTCATACTTCTGATTTTTTTTGACAAAATTTGCAAAAATTTTAACAATTTCAGCAACTCATCTAGTGAATCTTTCACACACATAGAGTGCTATTATCAAATAATTAAAGACAAAAAAGAGATACTTAATGCTTCACTTTTTAAATAATAAACTCTCATTTATAATATAGAAGTTGATTAATACTTAATATATTTAAATAATATTAAAATACTTTTAGTGAAAATATTTTACTTAAACAACAATTATAATGGTTTTCATTCAATTGAATTAGAATAAATAAATTTTAATATCATTTTTTAAATAAAAAATATATTAAGTTAGAAAGATTACTATGTGTAGATATATTAGAAATCAAGAGACAACAGCAGAAAATCTTAATAGAAATTTGAATACTCATGAATAATACGAGTATTGAACACTTTTTCCTTCATATATATTAAAAAATATCTTACTTGAGAAATCAATTAATATCTTGGGTACATATTTTTTAGTATAATAACTTTATAACTATATATATTAGTTCAAAAATAAAATCTCGTTAAGTAATTTACATATAAAATCATATCAATTATTTAAATTAAATAAAGTAGGATAATATAACTATTTTTTAAAATAAAATCTTAAATAGATGTAGATTAAGTTTATGAATATATTAGAACAAATATTTTTAGGAGCATAAATATTTTTCTCTCATAAAAATTAATTATACTCAACTATTATGATAAAAAGAGTTTATTATAATATTTTCATAAATATTAATTAAATAGACACTAATTATATAAATATAATATTTCAATAAGAATTTTTAAGTTAATAAATATCTATTATTTTAATATTGAATATACATATATTTTTTCTATTATTATAAATTAGTTTATTAGATATAATCATTTTAAGAAAATGATATTTATTCTTATTTGGTCCAATTCTAGTAATTACTAAGTGTCTTACCCAAGTAAATACAGAAAGTGGTCCAAATCATGATATTTTAGGAAGTGCTCCAATACTAACAAGAAGAGGGCTAGCAAAATATAATGCTTTATATTTCTTTTCTCAATATATAATAAATTTTCATAAAAATTTAAATAGAAAAGTAAATTTTCTTTCAAAAACACTTTAATGAGAAAGAAATAATAAAATGATATAAGATTTACAGAGTAAAATTTCATTATTTCATAAGTACTTTAGAAAAACAAAATTTCTAAAATTTTCATCAGCAACAAAAAGAAACAGTAGTTTTACAACTGTTTCAAAAAAATGTTATAAAACTGAAAATATTCATTACATAACTCAAAATAACTAAGTTCTATAGCAGTTCACATCCATCCATGCACTGTGAGCCTAGTACTATTCGTCCTAGTTTCCTAAAAATGTTGTGTAAAGGTGAGTCTCTACCCTACCACTCATACATAACACATATTCATCATAAAACACATCTTATCACGATTAAAGAAAACATTATGGTATTACATATCACAATGACTTATAAAGCAAGTTCTCATCTCAATACATAAACATATATTATATTCCACAGATTCACAATTTCTTTTCCTTTTTACCCACGCTTACCGCGCGCTATGGCCACAGTTACCTGATGCCTCTATCCTGAGGTCTTACACATCCATGTAAATAGTCGCTGAATGGCCCAATGCAATATAGATACAACACATGCAATAGACAGCCCCTTAGCAAAGGTAATAGTCAAGAGTCAAGTCGAAAAATGAGTGTGCGGCCATGTGGTGCATTCATACATAATATTCCATGCACAATCCTGAATGTCACTCACCATCCTGCATTTTCGTAAGATATCCTATATTGTCTCCATCTTCCACTCCCCCAGTGTATCTCTGTAACTATTTACATCATATCATTTTTCATCTCATACTTTTCAAGTATATTCACATGTTCACATATGCCATTTCTCATGTTCACATATATTTTTCATTATATTTTCACATACTTTTCATTATATATATCAAATCATGACATATTCACAATACACATATTTTTTACATGTAACACAATATATTCAAACATGAAACATTCATCTCCTTGTATATTTCATATCACAAAATCATAAAATCATATCAACCATCCTCAATATACCTTAACACAATATCACATTTTCACCATGTATTCATCATAAAATCACATAAACAACCAATTATTCTCACTTTTCATCAATTATTTTTCATAAAATAAGGATTATTCCACATATAATCACATACATGACAAGATCTATGAGAATACAAGTAATAAACATAACAAAATGATAAAGTAGAGCCCCTTACCTCAGAACAGAACTTTTACAAAGATTTAACCGAAGATTTAACTTTAGAACTTAGTTTTTCTTGAAATCCTTTAGAACGGACATAAAATACATATCTGAAGAGAAATATAAGTTTAAGAGGGTTTAGTATGAGAGAAAATGGTGAAATATAGCCTTAGAACTTTTGAGAACCTTGGATAGGAGTGAAGAAATGAAAATTTCATGTGAAACCCCTTTTTTATAGAAAATTTTCAAAATTTACTGTTTACCGTCTTACTGTTTATGCTGAAAATACTGTTCGCAATCACTGTTCACAATTTTATTTATTTATTTATTTATTTATTTTATTTTACAAATTCTATCCAAATATATTCCAATTATACTTTAATAAACCTCATTTTATTTAAATCAAAGTGTAGAATGTTACAATTCTCCCTTCTTTTAAGGAATTTCATCCCCGAAATTCGCTAAGTTAAAAAAGATCAGGATATAATTCTCTCATTTATTCTCAGTTTCCTACGTGGCATCTCCCTCAGCACTAGTATTCCATATTACTTTAACTAGTGAAATATCCTTACCCCTTAATTTCTTAATACAACGATCAACAAATTTCACCAGTTGTATATCATATGACAAATTCTCTCTCACTTGAACAAGATGAAGTTCTATCACATGAGTAGAGTCAAGAATATACTTTCTAAGCTGAGATACATAAAATACAGGATGCAAATTTGAGAGATTTAGAGGCAAAGCAATCTCATAGACAACAGGACCAACTTTA